GGTTTGCACTTCAAGCCATTTTGCACACATTTCCTTAATCTTTGAAGTAGGCAATTCCTTCAATTTCTCTCTCCCCTCCTTTGAACCAGTTTCCCCAGGTCTGGCCTCTTGCTCTTGAAGTTGATCTATCAGCTCATCAGTGGTTAGTTCTTCATTGTCCTCCTCCACCAACTCTTCCACATCCTCCCACTAACCTCCAACCCCAAGGACTTCCCCAATTCCACAATTGATTCCTCAACTGGTATAACTACTCCTCTCAGGGTTAGCCTCAAACCCTTCAAAATCCCTTTTGTCTACACATTCTGGCCACAGTTTCTTCAAGCAGAGTTCAAGGTTCTCTTAGTCACGTCCCTCCCAAGCCTTACCTATAAGGTTTACACAACTGAGGATATTAAAGTGATCCTTCCAAAACTCTTTTAGAGTCAATCCAGTGTCTGTGGTCACTTCAAAGCACTTTTGAAACAGAGCTTTTGTGTACAGTTTCTTGAAGTTGGAAATGACCTGCTGGTCCATGGGCTGCAGGAGAGGAGTGGTATTAGGAGGCAAAAACTTCACCTTAATGAAGCTCATGTCCCCATAAAGTCGCTCTGCCACGTCTGTAGGATGACCAGGGGCATTGTCTAACACCAGGAGGCACTTAAGGTCTAATTTCTTTTCAGTTAGGTAATCTTTCACATTGGGGGCAAATGCATGGTGTAACCAGTTATAGAAAAATTCCTAGTGACCCATGCCTTACTGTTTGCCCTCCACAGCACACACAAATTATCCTTGAGGACATTCTTTTGCCTGAACGCTCTGGGAGTTTCAGAGTGATACACTAATAAAGGCTTAACTTTGCAATCACCACTAGCATTGGCACACATCAACAAAGTAAGCCTGTCTTTCATAGGCTTATGTCCTGGGAGTGCCTTTTCCTCCTGAGTAATGTAGGTCCTGCTTGGCATTTTCTTCCAGAACAGGCCTGTTTCATCACAATTAAACACTTGTTCAGGTTCCAGTCCTTCAGTTTCTATGTACTCCTTGAATTCATGCACATATTTTTCAGCCGCTTTGTGGTCCGAACTGGCAGCCTCACCATGCCGTATCACACTATGGATGCCACTACGCTTCTTAAATCTCTCAAACCAACCTTTGCTGGCCTTAAATTCACTCACATCATCACTAGTTGCAGGCATTTTTTTAATTAAATCGTCATGCAACTTCCTAGCCTTTTCACATATGATCGCTTGAGAGACGCTATCTCCTGCTAGCTGTTTTTCATTTATCCACACCAATAAGAGTCTCTCAACATCTTCCATCACTTGCGATCTTTGTTTCGAAAACACAGTTAAACCTTTGGCAACAACAGCTTCCTTGATTGCCGTTTTCTTGCCCACAATAGAAGCGATGGTTGATTTTGGTTTCTTGTACAACCTGACCAGGTCGGTGATACGTACTCCATTTCATACTTATCAATGATCTCTTTCTTAATTTCAATGGGTATTCTTACCCTTTGAGGTGTAGGGTTGGCACTAGAAGCTTTCTTGGGGCCCATGGTCACTTATTTTCCACAAAAAGCACCGAAAACACTGTAATAATACGAAATATTCCGAGTGTATGCTTGAATGTTACCGCGGAGGCTAGCTGGTAAACAATGGGACGGGCGGCACATGTGAGGCTGGCTGAGGGCCCACATTGGACGCGTCTCGGACGAAGTTCGCTGAGCGGGTTTTTGTCCACTATGCGGGGCAAAATTTTAGCGAACAAAGCGTTCGCTATGCGGATTGTTCGCTATGCAAGGCGTTCGCTATGCGGGGGTCCACTGTAATTGGGGATGCCTGGGTACCATATGCTCTTTTTTTCTTTTAAAAGAAAAGATTTCTTTTTTCCTCAAAAAATTTGGGGCGTTACGCGAGTGAACATATATATACGTTTGGACCGTTTAAGGGTTAAGTGATATACACAAATAACCCAAAAATCTTCTACTGTATACATATATTTAATGCAACTTACCTAGGTGTTTTGGTAATGCTACTGTATAGTTCCTTTCTTGTAATACAGTTACAGTATTTTCTTTCCAATTTAGGGTTATCTTCAGGACAAGCTGGAATCAGGAAATGAATAGGGATATGAAGGCAAATGTTACTTTATTGAGCTTGCTCTGTAGCAGACTTCCTCAGTGTCTTTATGGGTTATGTAAATCAGTGAACATTAAAATGGTATAAAATACCGACAGGTTGTTAGGTAAGACACATATGCAACAGTTAGGTATCTTTATTTCAAAACGTTTCGCTTACACTCTGTCAGACACCGCAACACAAGGGTATCTTGGTACAGACCTGAAATCAACTTGGACAACTTCTACTAGTGAGAATGGCTGGATTTGAGAGGGACCTGACCTCCCAACAACTACATTTTTACCTCTACTAGTGGTCTACATCTCGCCTCCTGGCGTTATATAAGGCTCCATCCTGTCACTTCAACTCCATATTGTTTCAGACTATGGAACAATACTCTTCTCCAGACTGAGGGACTGACCACCTCAAAACTTCAAGGGTGATGGACTGATTACATCGTCTTTAAGTATCATCTGCTTCTATCAACTTTTCTGTACTCAACTGAAGAAGCCTACTGTGTAGGCGAAACGTTTCGAAATAAAGATACCTAACTGTTGCATGTGTGTCTTATTTTACATGTAAATCAGTATATCTGTAGGAAGTGGTAGGCTTTACAGATGTACATGTAATGCAGAAAGTTACTGAGGGTTTGACAGGACATAGGTGTTTGATAAGATAAGATTTTGTTTGGATTTTTAACCGCGGAGGGTTAGCCACCCAGGATAACCCAACAAAGTCAGTGTGTCATCGAGGACTTCTAACTTATTTCCATTGGGGTCCTCAATCTTGTCCCCCAGGATGCGACCCACACCAGTCGACTAACACCCAGGTACCTATTTGCTGCTAGGTGAACAGGACAACAGGTGTAAGGAAACGCGTTGAAATGTTTCCACCAGCTGGGAATCGAACCCGGGCCCTCGGTGTGTGAAGTGGGAGCTTTAGCCACCAGGCCACCGGGCCTCTTTCAACAAGAATCATTACTTTTCTAACATGGCGTCAAAATATAATAGTGTTCTCAGTTACGTTTGGCATGTTTAATATTGATTAATATCTTATAGGTTAATTAACCTATAATTAAAAGTGATGGGTTATGTAGATCTGATTGCATTAAACAAGTGGTTTCATGTTAGACTGCATTTTTTAACAAAAACTAAAAAAAAAAATTGGAGAATGGGTTGTTGTGTAACACTTGTTGCTGACTGTGGTGCATGTTTTAGTTATTTGCTCACAGCTTTTACATTTATGCCTAAGTAGTGGTTTTTATAATTACATCAGGGGGGCAACCATAGCAACCTTGAGGAAATTTCAGGGAGTTTTTTATATTATTAATTTAATTTTTTTTTTTTTTTTTTTTTTTTTGATGCTGTTTATTTTAACCTAGTGGGTAGTACAGTATTTATTTTATTGTATGTACTCTTGTTGGTTTGAGTGTTTATTATCATACAGTAGCAGCAGGGAAAATGATAGGCTGGATAACTAGAACATTCAGAATAAGAGAAGCCAAGCCAGTGCAAAAAACTGAGAGAGCAAGCAAGTGACTTAAGTCACTTGTTTTTTCTAGTCTGGAATAATATTACTGTATACAGTGGAACCTCTGATCATGACCATAATTTGTTCCAAAACTCTTCTTGTGACCCAATTTGGTCATGACCCGAACCTAATTTCCCCATTGGATTGTATGTAAATATGACTAATCCGTTCCAGATCCCTACGAACTCTATGTAAATATTGTTTTTAAAAAATTTTTAAGCACAAAAATAGTTCATTATACCATAGAATGCACAGTGTAATAGTAAACTAAGTGTTAAAACCTTTGAATAACACTGAGAAAACCTTGAACAACAGAGAAAATTAAGACATGTGCAACATATGGGTACCTTTATTGTAGACATTTCGCCATCCAGTGGCTTTATCAATACAGATTCTAGGACCTAATTTGAAGACAGTAGAACTATATACAAAAGATGAGGTAATCAGTCCCTCCAAGGCCAAGGGACTGATTGCCTCGTCTTTTGAATATAGCTCTTCTGTTTTCAAATTGTCCTAGAATCTGTATTGATAAAGCCACTGGATGGCAAAATGTCTACAATAAAGATACTCAGATGTTGCACATGTTTCAATTTTCATCTTGTTGGTATTGTACGCCATTCTTGTACAACAACAGAGAAAACTAACATTGTACAAGGCCTAAAAGTTTAAGGGCGTCTAATGGCTGAGCGGTGAACTCTGTTATTTATCGTCCGATTTCTTTCATTTTTGGTGTACGTTAAGCATCTTTCCATCATACATTGTCCATGTTTCAATAAGATCGCCCAACAAACAACTGAGAAAAAAAAAATTACCAAAAATCATATATGGCAAGCCCTTGCTGGGTACTGGCACTGCGAGAAGCTGTTTCAGCACTACCTGCTGATAAAACATTGCTAATCTGAATATATCACGGTTGTAATTACAAGAAGTGGGGCAAACTGACGCATGCAAAAAAATGGCGCAGATTGTGAAAATTGGCACGGCTGTGTTTGTTCAGCATCCTATTATGTGTTCATGACCAGATGCAAAAATTTGGCAAATTTTTTTGTCATGAACCGATTTGTTCATGTTCAGAAGCTTTCACAACCAGAGGTTCCACTGTACTAGCAACCCTTTAAGATAGTCAAGTACCTAAATTACTGGGAACATTTGAAGTCCCTCAAATTGTACTTCTTGAAATGTAGGCAAGTAAGATGTAACTGACACCAGATGCTGGGCCAATGTTCTCAGGAATCATTAGTAATATTAACAGGTAACAGCGACAGGTGTGCATACAATATTTAATTTCATGTCCCTCTGCTATTATTTAGGGATTTTTGTTCCCAGAGCTTGAGGTGCACCATAAACACAGCATTTAACATTGGTTTCTTCCAGGTTGGATCTCCAACACGATGTCGGAGAGTGAGGCAACTGCTGGACTGGAGGAGTCTGCAGCTGGTAATTTTTATCTCTTTAATGATTCCATTTATAAATTTAATAAATTGGGAGCATACAGATTTGCTTTGTTTTAGTACTACATTTTGGAGAAGTTGGTTATTATTTTTCCACATACACTAAAGTTAAGGCAAAGATATTTGTCAACCACACCTATGTTTAATAACTATAACAGTTATAAAAACTGTACAGTACAGTGTTTCTTTGTGAATTTTAGGAATTAAGAAAGTTGAATGCCTCCCAGATTGCCTCATTTGTATTGTCATAGACTTAAGCTACCTTGAACCTTTGTCTTAGGATTTTCTGGCATTGATATTGTACATTGTCAGTTCGTACTGTACTGTACTGACAAACAGAATACGGTTAGTTATTGTTTTGGGGTTGGTTAATCTAGGTCAGAAAAACTGGTTTGTGCTGTACAGGACTGCATAAGTACTTTGTCTTATGAGATCGTTTTTATTTTGAGTTGAGTTTGGAGTTTATTTTAACCCTTAACCCTTTGAGGGTCGACAGGCCCTCTCCGAAACTCGTTCTCAGGGTCGGCCAAATTTAAAAAAAAAAAAAAAATTATTTTCTCTTATGAAAAGATAGAGAATCTTTTCCCGATCATAAAGACACCAAAAGTTTGAAATTTGATAGAAAACTTACGGAATTATGCTCTCGCAAAGTTAGCGGTCTCAGCGATGTTTACGCATCAGCGATTTTGCCCACTTTGAGCCCCATTTTCGGCCAATTTCACTGTACTAGTCGACAAAAAACATGAATATTTCGCTAGAACTCCATTTTTTCTATCGAATGGATGCAAGAAACCACTCATTTATGAAATTCAACTATCCAGTACAGTGGTCAGAATTTAGCAATTTTGCCAATTTCACACAAATTTCAAAAGATGCCAATTTCGGAATAGGGTCCAGAATAAACAAGAAAGACATTCCTGGCACTAAAATGACATTTCCTCTAGTCATTAGTCATGTCTCAAGTCCCCTCTTATATTCTTTTGCTTTCCACTTTGAATTTTTATTTTCACAAAAAATATAAGATTTACTGTTATGCAGACTACTGCATTAGTGTAAAAAATGGTATAAATATTATTGGTGCACTTGTGAAAGAATATTAGACTCACCAGTTGATGTGTATTGCACGCTTGGCACGATTTGTTTACTTTTGAAGTTTGGTAAAAATCGAACATTTCTGCTACTTTGAGCTCAATTTCAAGGCACCTTTCTTTGTAAAACCAGTCAAAATCATCTCAATTTCTGTAATATGTCTTCCATTCTATAAAATGAGACCAAGAAAACTAGAATACAACAATAAATACCATACGAAAATACACTGCAAAGTCGCTGATTTATTAAAAAAAAATGGTCAAAGTTTTTTTTTTCTCATTATGCACTGTGTGCTGCAGGATTTTTTTAGACTGTGCACACTGACCACATAGACCCATTCTTTCTTATGAAGGCCTACCAGCTTTCTCCCACTAGATTTGAGGCCGCTAGAATTTATGAGTACTAGTACGTCAAAAACCCCTACGCGTAAAACGTACTAGTACGACCAAAACCCTCAAAGGGTTAAACGGTCCAAACATATATACACCTACCATCTGACTTACGACCTGCTCGACATATGACCACTCGACTTATGACTGTGCTTTTTATGCCAGATTTCTGGGAAATAAACAACTGTTTGTGTTGTACACAGTGTTTATCCTAAACCTTACAGTATAAAATACAGTACTAACAGCATAAAAAGCAAAGTAAAAAATAAAATGCCAAAATAAAACAATAAAATAGTCATTACAAAAATGTGATGTTGATATTCAGTAGTAAAGTTCGACTTGCATCCATTTTGACTTACAACCGGTTGGTCGGAACCAAGCTCGGTCGTAAGTCGGATGGTAGGTGTATACGTTTTCTCGCGTAGCGCCCCAAACGTATACTATATACATTTCCCTTGTCATTCATTCAACATTGGCATGATAAGCCTGAGTCGCCTAGACATGAGAGAATGGGTGTGCGCACTCACTGTGCGCCATATAAAAAAAATTGGGACGCCTGGGTACCATATGCTCTTTTTTCGTATTAAAATTTTTTTTTTTCTCAAAAAATTCAGGGCGCTACGCGAGAGAACGTATATATACGTTTGGACCATTTAAGGGTTAATAGGCTATATTGTTTTTAACTAAGTATTCCTGAAGGTGTACCTTTAGCCTCTTAACCCCTTGACTGTTGCAACCCCCAATCCTGAAGTGTCTCCTGGTGTCGCAAAATTTAAAAAAAAAAAAAAATTTTTTTTCTTATGAAATGATAAGAGAATCTTTTCCCGATTGTAATGACACCAAAAACATGAAATTTGATGGAAAACTGACGGAATTACGCTCTCGCGAAGTTAACGACCTCGGTGATATTTACAAATCGGTGATTTCGCCCACTTTGAGCCCTATTTTCGGCTAATTCTGTTGTTCCAGTTGACCAAACTCATAGCTACTTCTTTAGAACTCCATTTTTTCTATCGATTGAGTACAAGAAACTGCCCATTTACAGATTTCAACTACCCAATAACATGGTCAAAAATTTGCAATTTGGCCAATTTCATGAAAATTAAAAAATATGACAATTTCAAAATAAGGTCCAGAATGAACAATGCAGACATTCCTGGCTCTAAAATAACATTTTCTTTGTTCATCAGTCATATCTCCAGGCCCCTCTGATATTACTCTTGCTTTCTATTTTGAATTTTTATTCAAACAAAATATTTACTGTTATGCAGACTACTGTAATAATTGTATAAATAACATCAACCCATTGCATATTAGAATGGCTAGTTGGACATTTATTGGACAACATCATTTGTTTACTTTTGAACATTGGCAAAAATCAAACATTTGCCCTACTTTGAGCTCCATTTCCAGGTTCTTTTTATAGTAAAATCAATCAAAATCACCTCTATTTCTATAATATGTTTTCCATTCTGTTAAATGAGACCAAGAAAATGAGAATACAACCATAAATACTATACGAAAACAGACCACAAAGTCGGCATTTTAATTAAAAAAAAACGGTCAGTTTTGTTTTTTCTCATGCACTGCGTGCTCCAGGATTTTTTTTTTATATGGTGCACACTGACCACACAGACCCATTTTCTCACTTGTGGGCCTACCAGCTTTCTCCTGCTTGATTTGAAGCCGCTAGAATTTACGAGTATATATACGTCAAACACGGTACCTCGTATGACGTATATATACGACCTCGACAGTCAAAGGGTTAATGATTTTATGGTGTGTTGTAGTTGGTGAAAAAATTATCACTCCTGTAACAGCAGTGTAAATGTACCAGTGGTAGTTACATTTTGCAATTCATTGATGCTAAGTTGTGATTTTTTTTATGTTTTTAATTGCTTTTAACCCTTTCAGGGTCCAGAGGCCAAATCTCAGTGACAGCCAGGGTCCAATAATTAAAAAAAAAAATGTTATTTTTTCTTATGAAATGGTAGAGAATCTTTTTTCTAATGGAAAGCTGATGAAGTTACACTCGCGAATTTTGGATGCGTCAGCGACATGTACACATCAGCGATTTTGCCGACTTTGACTCCCATTTTAGGCCAATTGCATTATTCCAGTCAACCAAATTCTTAACTATTTCGCTAGTATTACTTCTATTTTATTGATTGAACACGAGAAATCACTCGGTCAACTGTTTCAATTATCAAATAAAGTGATTATAAATTGGTAATTTGGCCAATTTGACACAAAGTTCAAAATATTCCAGTTTCAAAATAGGATCCAGAATAAACAAGGCAGGCATTTCTAGCACTAAACTAACATTTCCTCTGTTCATTAGTTACATTTTCAGGCTTTACAAATGAATTCCATATTGATTTTTTATTCACATGAAGAATTTATATTCACACCAAAAAAATAGAAGATTTACTGTTATGCAGTATTGTAATAATTGTATAAATAATATCAGCACATTCGTGAACTGATGCATATTAGACATCTGACATCATTTGTTTACTCTTGAACATCGGCAAAAATTGAACATATTTGCTACTGTGAGCTCGGTTTCAAGCCATTTTCAGTACTAAAACTAATCAAAATCATCTCTGTTTCTGTGATATATCTTCCATTCTATCATATGAGACCAAGAAATCGCGAATACAACTGTAAAAAAACATATGAAAAACACCGCAAAGTCGCTGTTTTAATTCAAAATTACGGTCTCACTTTTTTCTCTCATTATGCACTGCATGCTGCAGGATTTGTTTTGTGGTGCACTTACCACATAGATGTACTCTCTCATATCTAGGCCCAAATTTACCGCTCGTAGGTTGTCTGAGCTCATAGCGTAGATCTACGGCTTGGTCCCTGGCTTTAAAGCTGTAGATCTGTGGAACGGACCCTGAAAGGGTTAATGTTTAAGACTATGTACACTAGTTTCTCTTTGTGTTTCAAAGTGTTTTAACCCATAAATGGTCCAAACGTTTATATATGTTCACTACTGTACTGCCCTAACTTTTTTGAGAAAAAAAAAACATTGTTTTTTTTAATAGGAAAAAAAGAGCATATGATACCCAGGCATCCCCAATTATTTTAACATGGTGCACAGTGAGTGCTCACACCCATTCTCACATGTCTAGGTGACTCAGGCTTATCGTGGCAATATTAAATGTAGGACACATAAAACGTATATATACGTTTGGGGCACTAGCGGTAAAAACGTATATATACATTTGGACCGTTTACGGGTTAATACTTTGAACTTAGGGAAATACTTAGCTCTGATGTTGCTCCACTTGGATTATTCAATATAAATTGGTGAAATAATTTTTTTTACTGCTTTGGTCTTTTAATTAGAGATAGGGGTGTCAAGAATTACTCTCTAGTCTCAGGATGGTCGTACTAGTACATCACATACATAGTTATCATCTGTGTATGTATTTAACTATGATGCTCTGTGTGGACCCGTCTGGCCTTAGATTTTTTCAAAGGTATGAAGAGATTGTAGAAGTCCCAAAGAGTTGTGTTTGAAGTCAGAAATGTTGGCAGGTGGTAGATTCGAAGGTATGACAAATTGTGCCTACTAGTACATCAGACATGTAGATATCACCTGTGTACTAATACAGTTATACCTCGCATATCCGGCCTGCCGTTATCCGAACCTCACCAATATCCAGACAGGCCCTGGGAAAGGGCAAAATTCTGAAATTATTACCGAAATTATTACCGAACAGCTGTTCGGATACGGCAGGAGGCTGAATCAAACTTGGTGCACACTTTAGTGTACTGGTTGGCCACTAGGAGCTGCGTTCTTCGCAACCCTCTGTGATATCAAGAAGGCTTGTGATAAGATTATGGCCTACACAAGCGAGTTTTCTGCTGCCTCAAAAACTGGAAAAAGTGCTGAAAGAAAAGTGATGGCGAAGCCACAGAGCTTGGAAATCGGTGCATGATGAAGTGATACCCACAACAACGTGGTAGTGGTATGATGGTTCGTGGCACCGACACGCAGGACTGGCTAGTGTGTGACGAAGATGACCCTGGTCTGCAATCTCTGACAGATTCTGAGATTGCAGAATCAATGTTGCACCCGGAGCATTCCTAAAGTGACGACGACGACAATGACCCAATGCCTTCAAGATCAAAAACTTCAGCAGCAAGGGCAGGTGTCAAAACACTTTTGGACCATCCACTGTCCACAGCCCATATGAAAAGTTATGGTTCTGTGGTCCATGAAATATGGGAGGCTGTTATTCGAGCCCAGAGTGTCTGGAGCCACTGCCAGACAATGTTGGACTCAGTTTTTAAACCTACAACGCTATTGCTGATGGTGATATGATGGGGTACGGATGGCGATATGACAGTATGGATGCGCATTTTTCCCCCTCACGTATCTGGAAACTCCGTTTTTCCAAACCAGTCTTGGCCCATGTAGTTCGGATATGAGAGGTATCACTGTATGTTGGACACAGTTAAAAGATTAAGAGATTGCCTGAAAATTTTAGATTTCCCAGAAACTTTTAGATTTTATTTCACTCATAACTGTAATTCCTCATCCAATCGCCTTCAAATTTTCAGTACCTGTGGACTGTAACAAGGACAAATTCTTTAAGAAACTAGCATGTTCACATTCCCTATGACCAAAGTTGTTGAACCCTTTCCCAGCTTCTTGGAATGGGTTGGGTAACTTTCAAAATCCTCAGTGGTGGGGATTCAAACATTAAAAAAAGGGCGCCAAAAAATTCCACAGTGGCAGAGTGAAATTCAGATGTGTAGGTTCAGATTTGACCATTTTGTAAGTACAGGCAGGCCCCACTTATACAGCAAGTTAGTTTCCAGGCTACTACTGTAAAGCAAAAATTGCTGTAAAGTGAATCTTAGCCTTTGTTTCACTTTCAAATGAATATAAAAGCCTGATAACATGTTTGCACTATAATATTTTAAGTGAGCAATTGAGCTAGTCCTAGAAATGCATATACTGTACAGTGCACACAAAATTTACCTTAAAATATTTTTGTACTTAGTTTATGGTGAGTGGTGAATATATTTATAATAGGAAGCCTGCATAAATGAAGAATGGGTTTAATTGAAAACCACTGTATTAGCAAAATGCTGTAAAGAGGGGCCCTTCCGTAAGTAAGTTTATTTAGGTACGGGTACACATAAATACATAAATTATTATACATAGCATGTGTGTAGATTACCTAGGATAATCCAAAAAAAAGGTCAGTGACTTATTTTTATTCATATTAAATCACACTTGATAATCACATTACTTCTTTGGAACAGCCTCAGTATTTAATGACTGATATATCTTAGAGCCAGGATAGTATCTATTAAGTTTTGTTAGCATGCAGGCAAATTTGGAATTGTCATCTGTGTCGTAACTGGAGAAAGACTTGTCCGATTGGCTTCAAATTTTCATTATTGGTGTAATTTCTTGAGCACAAGGCTCATTCAGCCATTGAGCAGCATAAGTCCCCATTTGCCAGATTTAGTGAATAGTGGTTTTTTTTTTATTCAATAACTAAAGAATGCTTCTGATTGTCTTTAAAATAGTGCAAATGCATTCTATAAGAAGGATAATATGCTACAAGTTTAGTCTGAATAGGTGTAAATTTATACTTTTATTGAAATAGTAGTTAAAAAACTTGGAATCATTGGAATTGAATGAATTTCTAGGGAGTGCTTTTTCTCATTGGCTTTAAACTTTACTATTGGTGGGCTTTATTAACCCTTTCAGGGTCCGTCCCGTAGATCTACGGCTTTACGTTCAGGGTCCAAACCGTAGATCTACGCCATGAGCTCAGCTCACTCTGATAAACTGTGAGTGGTACATTTGGGCCTAGATATGAGAGAATACATCTATGTGGTATGTGTGCACCACATAAAACAGATCCTGCAGCACACTGTGTATAATGAGAGAAAAAAAATGAAATCATGATTTTTCGATTAAAACAGCAACTTTGCAGTGTTTTTTCGTATGTTTTTTATAGTTGTATTTGCGATTTCTTGGTCTCATTTGATAGAATGGAAGACATATTACAGAAATAGAGATGATTTTGATTAGTTTTAGCATTGGAAATGGCTTGAAACTGAGCTCAAAGTAGCGGAAATGTTAAATTTTTGCCGATATTCAAGAGTAAACAAACGACCTCACACATCTAATACACGTCAGCTGGTGGGTCTAATATACATTCACAAATATGGTGATGATATTTATACAATTATTACAGTATTGCATAAGAGTAAATCTTCTATTTTTTTGGTGTGAATAAAAATTCATTATGTGAATAAAAATCAAAATGCAATTTATTTGTAAAGCCTCAAAACATAACTAATGAACAGAGGAAATGTTAGTTTAGTGCCAGGAATGCCTACATTGTTCATTCTGGACCCTATTTTGAAATTGGAATAATTTGAACTTTGTGTTAAATTGGCCAAATTAACAATTTCCGATCACTTTATTTTGTAGTTGAAACAGTTGACTTGGCGATTTCTTGTGCTCAATCGATAGAATAGAAGTAATACTAGTGAAATAGCTAAGAATTTGGTTGATTGGAATAATGTAATTGGCCTAAAATGGGAGTCAAAGTCGGCAAAATCGCCGATTCGTAAATATCGCTGACACATCAAAATTCGCAAGAGCATAATTTCGTCAATTTTCCACCAAATTTCGTACTTTTTGTTTTATTACCTTCACAGAAAGATTCTCTACGATTTCATAAGAAAAAATAACAAATTTTTTTTTTGAAAATTCTTGGACACTGGTGCGTGGCTCCAGATTTGGGCCTTGGACCCTGAAAGGGTTAAAACAGCTTGTCACTCACTTTGAGATATAAGAATTTCATTTTACCAATTTCATTAAGCAAATTGCTTCCTAAGCAATACTAATTAGAGAATACCTCTTGAGATCAAATTTTATCTATATGGATCCTATTTGCATTTTCACCCATTTCTTATATTGAATCATTTACAGTATTAACATTATATTCCATTATCCTTATTAACCTTATTTTTTATTTTTAAAATTCGTCTCTAAGATTTCTCTCATCAAAATTTAAGTCTTAAATGAATTAAAATGCCAATCCATTTTGTTCTTGCATAATCCAACCTAATATTTTTTTTCAGCAGAGAGTGAGAAGGTGAAAGCAATTAATGGAATGAAGGAAATGGAAGAGGTCAAACTGCAGAATGGGGAATCTGAGAAACCACAAATAAATGGCGATGTAGAAAAGGGTGACGAATTTGAACGAAATGAGGATGAGCCAAATGGGAGGCCTGAAGATAGTGGGCACAGAGACAGTGAAGCTGTTCACATACAGAATGACACTTATGCCTCAGAAAAAGCAATGGAGGTAGATGGTGTAGTGGCCAATGAAGTTCATACAGAAAATAAAGAGGAGGAGGAGGAGGAGGAGGAGGAAGAGGAAGAGGAAGAGATGGATGTGACTGAAGAAACAGTGGAGCTAAATCAAAGTGTTAGTGATAGTGCAGAGAAGGGCAATGAACAGGAGATTAAGGAGGTAAAAGATAAAAGTGAAATGGAAAAAAGTGAAGAGGGAGTAAAAGAAAGTGAAGGTAGAGAGAAAGAAAAGGTGGGAGAGAAAAAAGTGGTGAGAGAAAGAAAAAATAATAGAGAAAGAAGGTAAAGTGGGAGAGAAAGAAAGTAAAGAGGGAGAAAGTAAAAATGAAGAGAAAGAGAAAAAGGATAATGGAGAAAAAGAAAAAGAGAAAAAAGATAAAGAGAAAAAGGATGAGAAGAAAGAGGAGGTAGTGATAGAGGATAAACCGGAAAAAGACAAGGAGAAAAAAGTTGAAGAAAAGACTAAGCCTACTGCAAAATCAAGAAAAGGTGGAAAAAACTCGGCAAAAGACAACTCGGATGACATACAGGAAGTGCCGATCAGGGAAACTCGACAGCTTAGAGTTCGCCGAACACCAAGGAAGTACACCGAGGATGACGACGACATTAAAATAACCAATGAAGTGATAAAGGATGATAGCAGTGATATTGAAATGATAGAAGAGAGTGATCCTTTGGCAATAAGTGATGCGGATGTCAAAAAGCTGACACAGAAGAAGAAAGAGGTGAGTAGGCTTGCTTGATTATTTTCTGCTGTATTAAAAAAAAAGTCAAATTATTTCACATATATGCTTGTTGGTCAAAATAATAATGGATAGAGGAATGCCACACATTACTGTTGATGTATAATCTAGTGGTTCTGTGATCCTTGTTTTTAAAGTTACTGGCCAAACCCCCTATTTGTATTCTGGTCATCTAGGCTGTACTTAAAGTCAATATTTCTTCCTTGTAACTTTATCTCTACTGTTTATTTTTAGTTATATTTTGCTCTGTTTCCTGTTTTCACAAGACTAGAGGAAAAAAAGGGTTTTCTAACCAAATAGTGCTGACCCTAATTTTTTTTTTTAGCTCAATTGGTGTACAATATTTACAAGTTGATGAATAAGACGTATGCAACAACTGAGTATCTGTTGGAGAGATGTTTTGCCAGCACAACAAGCTTTTTCATTCTAATCCAGGACATGATTATAAACAGTAAAGTGGAGCCAGTAGAAGAGGTGGTGCATTACATCAGTTGTAGCAGTTCTCATAGGTGGGGGAAGACCCACCTATGAGGTTTATAATAGAGTTGTAAAATATTCATTACCAAGATTTTTTGATACTGACACAGGCTTAGATTGATGAAGTCTATCTGTAGGTGAAATATTTCTTGAAGATATTCAGATGTTGCGCATGTGTCTACGAGTCAGTATTATACTCTTGATCTTATGATACGGGCACTATGTTTTCAGCAAGATGTCCTTTTGATTGTTCTTACTTTATTTTGGTTTTTGATCTGTTTAATAACCAGATGTAATTATTCTTGCTTTCTCAACCAGATGCTGAAATGAAATCTTGATTAAAACTGGCATCAGGTTGTATTCCAGTCCTGCATCTTTTATTTTATTTCTCTTAAGTTGATCCTAATCAGTTTGGTTAAAACAGATGTTCTTTTTGTTTGTTCCATAAGTGTCCATTTGTTTATTCAATCAGACATTTTATTTTTTTAAATTGAAGTGTATTTTTTTCAATTAGATTATTCTTTGAAAAGGCTGTCTGTTTATTTCAGCTGGGTTGTCCCTTTGTTTTTGGCCACCCAGTTCCCATATAATAGCAAAACTATCCCTATTAAGTTTCCAGTGGTTGAAGCACATGCTTACCTCACTGTTTCTTATCCTCATAGTTGACAGAAAAAAACATTTGCCACTGTTTTGCATCATCATTTACAAATTACAGCAAAATAAGCATGAAAATAACCTCAGTAGAAGACACGGAAAAATTTCACTAAGATACAAGCAGGGTTTTTCAGTGGACAGTGGAAAATGTGACTTTAAGTGGGGATAAGTCCCAGCTGCCTATGTATAGAAAGAATGAAGAATTCAAAAGGGTTATGGTATGTAAAACCTAAGAGAATTATCAAATAGAACAAAAACACATGAAATACCTGGGAGTAATCATGTCAGCTGACTTTTCTTTCATTCTTTCAGAGAACACTATAAGGCAAATGTCATGGTAGCCAGGAAAATGATAGAGTGGATAATGAAAACTCAAAACAAGGAAGGTTTCGCCAATGGTGACACTTCCAATCGCTTGTGTTCTCTCATTTCGTCTTTTCAGTGTTAACGGTTCCACTCTGGGCGGGAGAAATATTCGAGCTGGAATAGATATAGAGATCATTTACAGCTCACATAGTCATTAAAACATTTAAGTTACTGGGAACATTTTAATCCTAAATATATACTGATTAGTGTGGAGGGAGGAGAGTGAAAATATATACGTACATGGAAAGTACTTGAGGGCCTAGTCCTAAATCTGCACACTGTCATAACATACTGGAGTGAGATATGGGAGGAAGTGTTGAATAAACCCAGTGAAAAACAGAGGTGCCATGGGCAAAGGAGAGAGAACATTGTATCAACATCTATGGTCCCAGATTGTTCAACATCTTAACAGAAGATATCAGAAACACTGCTGGGACAGGTGTACAAGTCTTCAGAGATAACTGGATAGGTATCTCTACAAGTGCCAAATCAACCAGGTTGTTTTGCCAGTAGCAATATCCTGGTTAGCCAGGCAAGCACCAGACATGCCTGGTCCAGGGCCAAGCTCTGGGTATACAGAAACTCTTGAAGCTCATATATCAAAGGTACTATTGTCAGGAACTCCATTAAAAAATATTTTTATTGCCCCTTCTGGCCTGCTGCTTTAGTAATTTGAAAATATAGCATTTTGTTCTCTCTACTGCAGATGCCAAGAAATTTTCTTTGCTTATTTTCTTGTATATATTTATTGATGTTACCTCTCCCTCTACTGTCTTCCAACCAGGACATTTTTGGGACAATACATCAGCAATTTATTATTTTTTAATTGAGGAGTTAATTTAACTTATTATGGTATTTTTGTGTTGTGTGTTAGTTTAGTTTTGCATTATAGTTTTGATTTGACACTGTTAGCATATATGGTTCTGCCCAACTTTGTCAGAAGACCTGAATGATCACTTAGGTCAGTGCTTTATAAATCTTGCAACTTATTTCCTTCCTCAGTCACAATATCCCTGCTTACAGCTGAAATGAGGGGCTGAGCTCAAAACTTAGATTTACATAAGTGATCCTGGCATCAGTAATGTGGATCTACGGACAAGACAGTGAAAGAGTTAAACAGATGCTCATCGTAATGTTTCATCCCCTATAAAGATTCTTTGTTTTCTATTCGAGTGTGTGTGTATCCATTTTCATTTGCTAATTAGCCTTCTATGTAGCTCTATGTAGCCTGATCTCTGTTTATCATCTGAAAGAAGTTTGCAAAATGTGACCTTCCATTAAGGAATCCATTCCAGTGCTCTGTGAAGAGTCTAGTGAACCTAATATAACTACCTGGCCTGGGTTAGGCTTTTTGGTTTATTGTCATAGTAATCAGCCTGTTGCTGTTAGCAGTTCACTAGCTCACATATCCATCACACCTTGTTTGATCTGGCACTTGGCAGAGGTGTAGATCCCATTTTTCCTCTAAACTTTTACATGTTCTGCCAATACAGTGGACCCCCGAGTTTCGTGATTAATCCGTTCCAGAGAGCCTGCTGAAGGTCAAAATTCACAAAACTCAAAACCATTTTCCCCATAAGAAATAATGGAAATAAAATTAATCCGTTCCAGACACCCAAAAATATTAAAATAAAATATTTTTTCCAAATTAAATAAAGATTTACATAATGAAAACAATCAGAAATCAAGTACATGCATTTAAAAAAATAATAATAACATTACACTTACCTTTACTGAAGACTTCTGGGTGGATGGAAGACGGGAGGGGGGGATAGGAGGAAGATGTACAATATTGTTTGGAAGGAGAATCTCCTTCCATTAGGACTTTAGGTAGCAAGTCCTTATCTGGGGTTACTTCCCTTCTTCTTTTAATGCCACTGGGAACAACTTGAGAGTCACTGGACCCCTGTCACACAAAATATCTGTCCAGAGAGGTCTTTTTCTGGCATTTCTTTAAGATTTTCCTGAAGTGGGACACAACACTGTCATTGTACATGTTGCAGATATGGCTTGTTTCAGCTTGGTCAGGGTGATACTTTTCAACAAAACTTTGCAACTCATTCCACATTGCACAAATCTCCTTAATCTTTGAAGAAGGCACCCCATCCACTCCCTCTTCCTACTCCTCTGAAGCAAGTTCCTCAGCTGTGGTCTGATGCTGTTCTAGTTGAAGCTCTTGCAGTTTGTCAGTGGTTAGCTCTTCCCTGTGGTCCTCCACCAACTCTTCCACATCCCCGTCAAAATCCCTCTGGATCGTGTTCCTCACTTTATTTACCAAAGGGCTTGCACTAGCTTTCCTTGGGTCCATGATGACTTATTTAGCAGTTGCAAGCACAAAAAACAATGGATGATTATGAAATGTATTGTATGAACCCGTGGGGTGATGGTCACATGTTGGTAAACATGTGACCATCACCGAAACTCGGGGGGTCCACTGTATTTGTAGCATCTACTGGTAACAGGTTAAACATGTTGGATCATGAATGTTAGGACAGTGTTTTTATTGTGCGTATGTCACACATTTTTTGCTGGATTTTATTTTACACTTCTTTCATATTGGGGTATGCCAAAACATTGGTATCATTGGGTATCAGCCAATTTTGATGGTATCAGTATCGGCCTAAAACTGAGTACTGGTGGGTATCAGCATCAGTATTGGCAATTATCAGCTAATATTGATGGTATTGGCCTAAAATAATGTATCATTATTGGCAAAAAATTGGTATTATTCCATCCCTACTCATTGATCTCTTGCTGCTGGACTTTGTTATGGTAGTATGTAGATAAGGGTATAGGCCTTGAAGCATCTTTCATGTATAGATTATCACTACTACTACTACTACCATTAGAATTGCACCTCACTCTAAGCCTATATATACCCTCTGTGTCCATGTATTTTGTAACGGCTTGACAAAGCTCCTGGAGAGCGAAACGTTGCCACAATAAAATGTCACATTAGTTGCACTTGTGTCCTTTTACTTTACATATTGTCAGTAATTCTACCAGTATATATACAATCTGTCAGACACCGCAACATAATAAACATTATATAAAAATAACCAGTTTCCCTGAATCCCTTCACTATAGGTAATCTTTAAAGAATGAATTTTTTGTGAATATTTTTGGGTGTATGGAACGGATTAATTGGATTTACATTATTTCTTATGGGAAATGTTAATTTGGTTTTCGAGCATTTCAGATTTAGAGCAACCTTCGGGAACGGATTAAGCTCAAAAACCGAGGGTCCACTGTACATTGTCCTGCTTTTTTTGTCATACCCATTGACCTAATTTTATGGGTAATCACTCCACTGTTGTTTTTGTCAAATGCCTAAGCATAGTGTGTGTAGATCACAGTTTTTTTTTTTTCTAAAGCCTCTAATTTTATAATTTTGTTTTAGTAATTGTGACAAGCATTATCATGTTTGTTGAATAGGGCTGTGTAGGCTAAATGTAGTTGTTTTCATAGGGCACCAGCCCCACAGC